TGTCAAAATTCTGTATTATGTTAGCCTAATAAAGCACACAGATTTTAGCAACAGCACACAGAAGAACAGAAAAGCAAGCACCCTCTACATTATGCAATGTAATGTTTATTTATTGGAATCCTGCTGTTCCGTTCATGATTGTTCAATGCATAAGTAAAGTTTATAGAATTGAATCACTACAGTGATGCATAATTTTGTAATGCTGTAGCATAACGTTACTATTTGCTTTAAGATTTGTGTCGTACTTAAAAGGTAATGGAGACATTTGATTTGAGAGAATGCCAATGCTACTTTCCACGTGAAGGAGTGCAGAGCTATTGATGTACAGAGAGGGCAGGAAGTGCCCAAACAGTTGAGAGATGATGATGTTCACGCTGGTTTTCTTGTACTGCTTGAGTTTTAAGCAATGGTGTAACTGAAACACTTCACAAGAACTGAAATGTTGTCCTATATATACTTGAAAATAAATATATCTTGGCAGTAGAGGATCTGAATGTGAAAAGCAAGTAATTCTCAAAAACGTTTTACAGATTGGAAAAGCTGAACTTCCTGCAAGCAGGGAGCTCATTTTCAGAACAAGGTTAATGGGGACACGGCTGCAGCAAACTGGTAATATGTCGATCTGGTCACCCTGGCATAGATGGACTGAAAAAATGTTTGCAATGCTGCAGATCGAAATAGGGTAACTGATACACATCTGATGTTGACGGTGTAGTGCGAGCCGCGTAGATACAACATGGTAAAAATTGTAGCGCGAGTGTCAGTTTCAAGTGTAGAAGTGTCTAGGCTGCCTCCCTGGAAGGTGACGCGCAAGATACAGGGAGGGAGCCTGGAACAAAGACTCTAATTTTCAATAATTTTGATGCCTGGGGGAGTGTGGCAAACCATACAGTGAGTGTGTGGGGTAGGGCAGAGCTGTAAACCCCAGGGGGTGGCATGGCAGAGAAGGGAAGGAAATGACACCTTCTTTGGAGCCTAATCGTCTAGAAGGCAGTTTTAGTAGTCATCACCTATGCTCAGCTTAACGTATGGTTCTGGTCTCCTGGACCTGCACTCCCTCTGCTGCACAGAATGAGTGCTGAAACAGTGCACTGGAAATGATCTTCCCAAATGTGTACTCTTGCATTTCCCTTTTTTGTGGTAAAATGAAGGTGTGGAGAGCAAAGAAAAAAAAACAACTTATCTACCAAATCTACTAATGCATGGTTTTTTTGTTTATAACTAAGCATCATAGTTAAGCTTAAATTAAGTTTGACTTTCTACAGTGTGGGATCCGATATAGATCAATGTTTTAACTTTGAAGAGGCATTGTGTTGTAAGTCATATTCTTCTTGTGTTACATAGGAAGATGAGAAATTTTTGTCTGAAGTTTTTGCACAATTAACAGATGAAGCTACAGATGATGACAAACGATGTGAATTGGTAAGTCAGTAGTCTTTGCAATTCTTTGAATGCTTTAAACCACAGAGAAGTAGAAATACTGAAACTGTTTTAGTTCTGCGATCATTGAGGTATTTCTGTAACCACAGAATAATTTCTAATGTAGCTTAATCTCCGTTTATGTACTCATAAAATCATAGAATGGTTTAGGTTGGAAGGGACCTTAAAGATCATCTACTTCCAACCTCCCTGCCGTGGGCAGGGACTCACTAGAAAAATATTTCTTGTGAGGTAAGCTGTGATTTATTTCTCCTAATTAATTATTTTATTGTTGAGAAAGTGCTAGCACTGAGCTGACGTCCTAGACTTAAAGGTATACTTTCTTCTAAGTACTCTTCAATATACCATATCGCTTCTATTTGTCATTTAATCACTGTACTTTACTCATTCAAAAAGATCTTTTAAGTCCAATGACTGAGGATTACCAGTATTCCCTTAATATATATATTACAAACTTTATTTATCCTTTAATATGTTTATCAGCTTAATTTGCCTTGTTAAAATCTTGCTTTCAGCAACAGAAGTATCTTTGTTTGACAGAAGTATAAATCCTTCTATGCTAGGTGTGATAATAGCTACAAAGTGACTGTGTCTTTTTCTGTGTAAATTTCAACCTCTGAATTTTCTTTGTTTTTACTTTCTTTTGCTTTCCCTTTGTTGATGTTGTTAAAGGTTGGAGGAGAAAGGACTGGAATAATACTATTTGCTAGGAAGGCACATACCAGCCAGTACACAAACTCTGATACAAATTGTAACAGTTTCCTACATTCAGAAAGTGTTCTGAATCAAATACATTTAAAGTTATTTTTTTCCTATACGATAGGTTAATTTTTTCAAGGAATTCTGCGCGTTTTCTCAAACGTTACAACCTCAGAACAGAGATGCGTTTTTCAAAACATTGGCAAAATTGGGAATTCTTCCAGCTCTTGAAATTGTAATGGTAAGTGAAAACTTAAAGCTGATTTTAGTAAAATTTAAAAACCCCACAGCCATTTAACCAGTTTTTCAGATCTGCTGAGCACCTCTATGTTGGTTTGATTGGACAGCTTTGCTCTGCTGAAAGTTGAAGTTTATTGTAATGTTCGGAATCCAAAAGATGTCCGCAATTTTCTGAAGTAGCCTAACTTTATTGCTATTATTATTTTCACTTTGCATGATGGAGAAGTCTGTGGTAAATGCAGTCCTTTTGACAATGTAGTGTAAAAATTGAAAGATGCACTTTTTCATGTGGCAGCTTGATTTTTTTTTTTCTGTTGTTGTTGGAACAGTGCCAAAGAAGTATTTTTAGATAATCTTGAACTGTTAGCTTGTTGCTATCCAAAAGATCACGTAATCCTGTCTTTTCAGAGGTATAAAGCAGATTAATCTATCTTAATCAGCAATGTGAAAACAATTTTTTTTTTCACTCCTTTGGTTGAAGCAGCTATTGCTGCCTGACCGTTGCAATTCACATGTCAGTGCTGTTGTTGCTCAAAAACTACAAATTCCGTGTTTTTTATATTCTAGAGTAACAACCTGTGAAGTTACCAAAGGACATTGACTGTTACGAAAACATAAAAGTCATATAGATGTTCAGTGATTAGATGAACCATAATCTTACTATTCTTTTCCTGGGCCAGAACAGTCCAAATGGTTCCTGTTACGTTAATATTTTAGGCTTAGGAATTGTACAGTTATCAGAGAAAGTTTCATACCTTAAGGAAAATTATTAATTCTTGTTGTCTATGAATGAGTACAGAACAAACTGATTTGTGTAGTCAGTCCTTTTGTACAACATAAATAAACCATGGATAACAGGTACAGAATATTAGTCTCTTAAATATTCTAGCAAGTAGCACAATATAAATGTTTCCTGCCTAAGTTAGGGTTGTCACATTCACAGAAATCCTTGTATTCTTTCTAAATGAGGGAAATAGTGGGGAAAAATGTTTTGCTGTGGGTTTGGTTTTTTTTCTGTAACTATTACTGTCTCTCTCATAGAAACTTTTGTAATAAAATGTTCTCGAAACTTTTAAGTCCCTATTCTTTGCCACTTCACTTGACAATAAATACCAAACTTGATTTACTGCAATAAATTGATCTCTTTTTTTTTTGTTAGGGAATGGATGATCTGCAAGTTAGATCTGCTGCTACAGATATATTTTCTTATCTAGTAGAATTTAGTCCATCCATGGTCCGAGAATTTGTAATGCAAGAGGCCCAGCAGAGTGATGATGTAAGTAAAAGCTTTTGGAGTTTGAACATACTAGTTTTAGAGTAAACAGGAAAAAAAAAAAAAAGATAATTAAAAAAAAAAAAAGGCAAAACAAACCTCTCCAGCAATTGGAGTACAGTTAGCCCAAAAATGTAGGTAGTAGAAACAGGAAAAAGTAGATTTAAGATATAAAAATTTCTGAGCATGTTGGTGTTCCATGTGTTTACAGTAAAAAAATCGTAGCTCTGCCTACCAGTGATTTTAGGTGAGGAGGGTTGTGCTTCACAGAACTCCGGTATCTAAATGCAACTCTCTCAGTTTTTCAGTTTCACTTAGGTTTTACGGGGGAAATCGTTCCACTCCTGAAACTGTGTCTAATTATTTTGCGGTTTGTTTGGTTTGTTTTTTTTCAGGATATCCTCCTCATCAATGTGGTCATTGAGCAGATGATCTGCGATACTGATCCGGAACTTGGGGGAGCTGTTCAGCTAATGGGGCTCTTGCGCACTCTGATAGATCCAGAGAATATGTTGGCCACAGCTAATGTAAGGAAACACAAAGGGGTAAAGACCTTTACTGTCTCAGCAAAATGAAAAGCCTGATATTTACTGCTCTTAGTGTGGTGGAGGATAAAAAAAAAGAGATTTTTATTCTTTTTTGACCATGTTGTGTATGGTCTGATACTGAATTTAAACAAGCTAAAAAATAGGCTAAAATTCCCATTAACTTTTGATAAAAGGTATGTGTATGTGGTATTGTGCAAGTGTTTAATAAACTAAGCAGTCCTGTGCTTCAGTGAAGTAGCACATTTGCATCCATGGCAGGGCAATTTTGGTGATAGCTAGGTTGGTTTGCTGTGGCTCAGGTCTTTTCCCAAAATTAAGAAAGGTATCTTATTTGAGTGACGGTAATGTTGCAGAACCAGCTCATAAGATACAGGCAAACCTGGGGGAGTTGACAGAATTATTTGTAAGCTGTCTTTGTTGTTACTCTTTCTTACTTAAAAGAAAGTATACAAATGCAAGTATTTATTAAAGTTATGTTTGTTTTAGAAAACGGAAAAAAGTGAATTTCTCAATTTCTTCTACAACCATTGTATGCATGTTCTTACTGCACCGCTTCTGGCTAATACATCAGAAGATAAATGTGAAAAAGGTAATGTTACTTCCACCCACCTTGTTTTAAATATTACCATGTTTTCTAGTGACTTGCAGTCCTGGTAAGAGGGATAAGCCTGTGGTCTGAGCTGGGAATACGCTTGCTGCAAACCGTTGTTCCCCCAGGGATAAGGGTTCTGTAGGCAGAAGTTTTAATAGGCCTTTATTCCAGCTTTGAATGCCAACGTACCTTTATGCTGTGCTTTGTAAAATATGTATTTTCTTGATGTGTATTGTTAGCTGTATATGTTTCACTAGTATAATTTTAAAGCAGGGACTGTCTTTAGTTCACAAGTACTTTTTTCTAAAAGTTTACAAAAATGCTGTGACGTTCATCAGTGGTTAGGCGATTCCAGGCATTGGGTGTGCTCAGGTGATTAACTCCAGAAGCTAGTTTTCACTTGGCTGTAGTATAGAAATGCTGAAAGAAATCTATGCAAAGAAATACAACTTGGAACTACTTTATCTTGTTTCTTCTTTTATTTTTCCTGGTAACAGTAAAAGGATTGGAAATCTTTTTGGTGCGCACACAAATAACACTCGCTAGTTTGCCTCTAGTGCTTTACAAACAGAAATTTAACATCATTACAGCCTCTTGAGTCAGACTTTTTTCTGAGTAGTCTTTCAAGAGATTAAATCAAACCAATACGTATTTGGTAAAAAGATTTCTTTCATCTTATCCATCTTCTGATATGAAGTGTTAAGTAAAAAAAAAAAAATACGCATTTTATACAAATAAAACTTGTAGAATACCTGTAGTTCTCATTTTATAATATTATTTGAAAAATTTAGAGTAGGCACTTTCTTTTAGTCTGGGTAGGAATACTATTCGTGAGTATTAGATTGTGTTTTCACCTAGTTGAATCTGAAACTTTGTAAAGTAAATTGAATGTATAAATCTCATCTGGCATGCATTCTTGCTGTATGTTTATTTCCCTATAGCTTACAGAAACTTTTGACTCTACAAAAAGTTTGAACAGCTGGTAGAATTAATTGTTTATCCCCATTGTTTAAATATTTACAGTGCTTTGAAAACCTTTTTCTGATTTTCGTTTTTATTTTCTATTTATCAGATGCAGTAGTTGGGTCCACTAAGAGTAACACAATTTGTCCTGGTGAGTTTTAATTGACCTTGAGTTTTGAAAGTTTTCTTGTGTGGTGTGGTTTGTTTTTTTTTTTTAAAAAAAAAAAGTTAGATATGTCCATACTTTATTTTTTTAAATACGTTTTATTGAAATAGATGTAGGTGCTTTGCTTCATTTGAGATGACAGGAAGCTGAAGGAACATTTTCATCTGCTTTTAGTTACTGGGTTTCACTTTTTTTTCCCAGTCTACCTTGCTACTGAATGTTTAGTACATATTCTAATAACATTGATTTAAAGAGACCTAGCTGAGCTTTTACAGTTTGGATTTTTATCTGTGCAGTCTTTTTTGAGCACTATGAAAAGACATTGCTAATTAGGTTCACACGAATACAGATCTGACTGGCTTTAACTACATACCATTAGTCTGGATTGCCGTAATCAGTAACTCACTGATCCTGAAAGAAGTCCCACTGCCAATTTGGGGCAATTTTTTGACTGAAAAAAAAAGAAAAAAAAGCCAAATTTGTGTGCATTGTTTTGTTCTGATCCAACATCCCGCTTCCTAAAGCAATCCAGTGTGCCACTAAAAACATGTCAGGAACTGTATTAGCGCCCAAGCTTGGTGGTGATTTGGTGCATAACTACTTTTTTTTAGTATAACTTAAGGCATTAATTTTTCTTTCAGATAATTATCAAACGGCACAACTACTTGCCTTAATTTTGGAGCTGCTTACTTTTTGTGTGGAACACCACACGTATCACATCAAGAATTACATTATGAACAAAGATTTGCTAAGAAGAGTACTGGTCTTGATGAATTCAAAACACACATTTCTGGCCTTGTGTGAGTACGGAGCTGATGTGATTTCGTTCTTCCGGGCTTTGTATGTACTGTGTGGAATGTATAGGAGTAAAAGTTTATATACTTAAATTCAAAATTCATGCTAATTTCCTATTTATTAGTGACTAACCGTTAAGTACTTTTGAAAAACAGTTAACAGATGTCCGTTAATGTAGACCAATGCAGTTTACGGTGAAAGGGGAATTGTATCTTTTGAAATCCACAGTGATCCTTTTCTGTCTTTATGACAGTGAGGATGATTTGTGATCAGCTGTCTTACCTCATTGAAGTGGAAATACTGTCATTTCTTAATAACGTCATAAATCTAGTGCTCCTTGTGGAGAGTGAATGAAATTTTGTAAACCCTTGTATTTAAAGAATAGGGGCTGATTCTGGGAGGTGAACTCAGAGAAGGACAGGAATGAGCTAATAGTTTAACTTCACATGTGCTAAAGTTTATTGCTGCTGTATTTCAAAAAGAAATTAATGGACTCTGATCACATTCAAATACGCAGGAAAGTCAAAGAATGAAAGAAAGGTTACCTGTCAGCAAATGTTTCTTCTGAACTTTCAGAAGGTGCTTTTAATGCTCTTCGTTTGGGGGCGCATCTTCCTCTCAGTAATGTCTCTTTTTTTTCATTTGTTTCCAAGAGAAGCAGACTGGAACCCTGGCGTGTAGTTACTAAATTCTGGAATTTCTTTCTTCATATAGGTGCTCTTCGCTTTATGAGGAGGATAATTGGCCTAAAAGATGAATTTTATAACCGTTATATCACCAAGGGAAACCTGTTTGAACCAGTTATAAATGCTCTGTTGGATAATGGAACTAGGTACAACCTGCTCAACTCTGCTGTGATTGAGCTGTTTGAGTTCATCAGAGTGGTAAGTTAAGCAGCTTCTTCAGCTCTTACACATGTGGCATCTCGGGTAGAAATACAAAATGCAAATCTTTCCCTTGTAGTGTATTACTACTTAAAATTATAAACTAAAAATCCCATAGATAAATATTCCAAGAGAAAGGAGGCAGTAAGCTGCTTTGTGCTTGTTTTACTTGATTGTCCCATCACAGAGTATGTGTTGGCCCTATTTATGTGTAAGTCTGTGTAAGCGTCCTATAGATTAAACTCTTCTAAGTGGTTGGATGAGTTGTTATTAGACCAAGCTTTGAAGTGAGGAATTAAGTGAAATAGGTTATATATGAGTAAATCTGGGTATTGTTGGGTCTAAATGAGACTAATTTGGCTATAAATTTAAATGATCATTGTCCTTTAAAATCCTACATGCGTGCTTCCTTAGCCAGTGTCAGCTTTGAATCAGTAGCTTTTCCACCGGCGGCCTTTGTGGGAACAGTGTGTATGCGGACAGGACAGACAGGACAAGCAGGAGCACCCAGTTTGTTGTATTGCTGGGGTAGAAAACAAAGACTTGCAACAGCTCCTGAGCTACGCGCTGTGAATGCCTTGATGTGTGGGAGTCTTCTCAGAGAATCTTTGTAGTCTGTGAAAACAAAGGGCAGTTTTTAGTTGTAGGGTATCATAGCTGCTGAATTTTCCAGCAAGAAGAAAATGCATTCAGGTGACTTTTGCCAGTGTGGTATGAGAGTTAAGATTTGCCTGATATGGTGAGGCTCGTTAGAGGGTGACGGACCAAAAGGTGCCTCATCCCATGTCTGCTGCTGGAGTTACGGAGGACTAGAAAGAGCTAAAACTTAGGGGGAGAGCAGGGCACAGCTAAACTCCTGGGTTTTTTCAAGAAGGCTTAATTCTAGATAGCAAGAATCATGGATTAATCAAACTAGCACAAATAGAATTGGGACAGTACTGAGTATATTGTCTGTTTATGTGGGAAATGTAATAATTATTTCTAGATTTCAGCTTTTTTATTAAGGAAAAACCTCATGACTTCACGTTTGTTCTTAACAATAATGTTTTTACTTTGGACAACGAATCGGTTATTTTCAAAACTAAACTCTCTAAAGCTTTCCGAACTTCTGCATATTAATATTTGAGACTGAAACCCATTTTGTTCTTATGCAGGAAGATATTAAGTCCCTTATTGCACATATAGTTGAAAACTTTTATAATGCACTTGAATCTATCGAATATGTTCAGACATTCAAGGGATTGAAGACAAAATATGAGCAAGAAAAAGACCGACAAAACCAGAAACTGAACAGGTACGACCCAGTTTATGTATTCTGAGACTTTTATTGAATGTCATTATGTAGTATCTTCTTGCTGCTGGTTGGGTTGTTTTCTTTCCTAGAAGGCAGAAAAAGCAGAAGGCTGGGTTTGTTTTTTCATTCTTGATGAGATCTTCAATTAGAGTAAAGCCCCATCTGGCTTTCTTTGTGGCCTACTGTGGTACAAGTTCATATTTGTCAGTATGTTAAATGTTACATTCAGAAAACCCTCAGCTTATGAAGAGCAGAATCTTCCTCTGTCATTCAGAGTGTGGGTTCGGTCTGCCTTATTGTCAGCTGGGCTCTTGGTGAGGCTTACGTTGACGGTAGAACCGGGGACAGAGCTGGACTGCCTTCTCAAATGCCCTGAGTTCACTCTGAAGCATCAGAAGCTATTTCTGATTCTGGCTGAGTTCGAAACAGCAGGCAAAATTTGAATCACTTGTCATGTGTCTCTTACAGTGTTCCATCTATATTGCGTAGCAATAGATTTCGCAGAGATGCAAGAGCCTTAGAGGAGGATGAAGAAATGTGGTTCAATGAAGATGAAGAGGAAGAAGGTGAAGCTGTTGTACCTCCAGTTGAGAAGTCAAAACAGGAGGATGATTTTCCAGATAGCTATGAAAAATTTATGGAAACTAAGAAAGGTATTTACTCAATTTCAGCTTGTCAGCACTGATAGTGCTCTATGGCAGATCCGTGGAGCATCATGTAAACAAACCAGTTGCTGGTGCTCTGTATCGTAAGCAGGAGTAAGGGTATTCCATGTAATTAAGTAATGAATTCCTAACGTGTCTTTGCAAGCTACTTCAGGAGTTAAATTGCTCCAGGTGTGCTTCTAGTTTAAATGCAGTTCAAAAGCAAAACTTTACATGTACGTGTGTGCGCTGAGTGAGTAATGTCCCCATGTCCACAGTGTCTGCGCCATTCTCAGTCTGAATGCTGGCGCGTGCTTGGATGAGGTCAGTAGGTGAGCCATTGGTGTAAACTGAATTAAAAAAAAAAAGTAAGGCGGCTTTTGCCCTATGATTATGCTGTGATGTGGATTGTACAGCTGATGCTTAAGTATATGAAAATGTTTGTCCCTCAGCTAAGGAGAGCGAAGACAAAGAGAATCTTCCAAAAAGGACTTCAGCTGGGGGATTCAAATTCACTTTTTCCCACTCAGCCAGCCCAGCCAATGGTGCAAACGGTGCAAACAGTAAATCCGTGGCAGCTCAGACGTCACCAGCAAGTTCCAATGGCTCCTCTTCAAAGAACGCAACCCTGACCACAGCGGTGACAGCCACGAAGGTGGGAGAACTTGTGCAAAAGCTGCTGTCCTCACTCAGGACAGTGGAACGGTATCATGAGACTTTGCCAGTTGTAGTGTGGTAAGGTCAGCATTAGCCTCTAGGCAAGGGATCTTATTTATGTATAAATTCATCCAATGCCCTGTCTAGCTAAGTCCTTACTAGTTTTGGGGAAGGTTTAAGAAAGTTTTAGGTGGGACTGGAGTCTGTTGGTAATCTGGTGGGCACAGTCTGATCTCGCATTTTCTGCGGAATTTAACTGTTGCCACTCCTCAGCTTTATTAACTGTCCAGTTGCTGCTGGGGGTGGGGGGCATATACATACAGGATTGGGATTTTCTTCTGAATTATGTTAGTGCCCCCCCCCGGCAGAGAGTCCCCCCCCCCCCCCCCCCCCTCCGCTGGGAAAATATCAAGTGTTTTTAAGCAGACAAAATACAGTAAGTGATATCTCTGTTATGTCTTACACAGTTCTGCATGATTTTACCCTTTAGCCTGTAAGGTCCTGAGAGGCTACAGAAAAGGGTGGCAAAATTTTTATTGTATACACCTAAGACTTACCAGTAAAATGGATGTGGAGTGTACACATTAGATTTTGTGACTGTCCAGTTGTGAGCTGAAAGTGATTTTTAAATAATTCTGAGGCCGTATCCATAGAAGCAAGGAAGTTCCAGTACTTTTTTTTTAACCTTGAGGTTCAAAACCATTCTTAAGACAAGTGGATCTTTGAATGAAAAAGGCATTGCCGAGAAGCCTTCTGCAGCTTTGTGTGTCCTGAACAGGTTGGCTGGGGGTTATATACTAAAATTGCACATTCCTGGGTATTTTTTTTTCAATGTGAGATTTTCTTTTTTTCTTTTTAATTGGCAGGGAAGTCTAGTTGGCCTAGTGGATTATCCTGATGATGAAGATGACGATGAAGAGGAGGAGACATCTCCAAGGAAAAGACCACGTCTGGGTTCATAAATGAAACCAAAATGTTGGAATAAGAACTTGTATTATGGGGTTTCAAATGCTGCAACTGTTTTAAGAGCTAAAAAGAATCCGATTCAGAAAGCTTTCTCCCATGAGTATATAAAGATAATACAAGGAGTAGCAAAAGAAACTCAGTATATCAGCTAGAAAGTGTTAGTTCTGTAAACACAAAGCTTCCCAGGAACTTAATATCTTTCTAGTAAGTAAGGAGTCTGCCATTCAGGCTGTCAAAAAAATAAAAATTTTAAAAAAAAAAGTGGGCTAGTATTCACAGAACCTGGATGATGGCTTCTCAGCAAGGAAAGTCTCAGGTGTTGGGAGGGCAGGGGGAGGGAAAGGTATGGTAAACGCTTTTTTTAAAATATTGCAGGGTTTCCCCAGTGTTTAAAAGAACTAGGAAAAAAATTCAAGCTTAAATTTTGAACCCAGTAATCTTAATTTTGTAATGGTGCTGTCAGTTGTGTTCTTTTAGCAATGCCTCTTTTAAAAAAATTTTAAGGGAAAACTAACTGTTTGCATAAGAACAATCCCGATTTGGGGACCATTTATCACCAATTAAATCACATTTCTCATGGTTGGAGGGAGGGACACTGCAGTTATAGTGCATGTTGAGTTGTTTAAAACAGTTAAAAATGAGTTTTAATTTGTATTTTTCGAGAGGAGAAAGTGGAAGCTGGATTCAAAATGGATGGTTTTGCCTATTTTTTCGATTAGACATCTGGTAATATTTATGCCAAGGAATGATCGCTTCCAAAATATGTCCAGGAGCTGCTTGTGTCAAAGCAGTGCTGTACACAGCACACCAGAATGACTGTCGGCTTCAGGGTGTGGAAGATACTGAAATTGAATCGCTTTCCATGTTGTTAAATGAGCTGCCTCGTCTCCGAGCAGCAAGCCATTTTCCTCTTGGCGAGTTTAAATTGCGCAATTGAGGTGGTAATAAGAAACACTAACAGGTTTTTCATAGCGATGGAATTCAGCAGCGTTTTAACACCAAAGTCACTTTGGACCAAGACAGATTTGTTACGAGCAGAACACCGGTCTTTGAGGCAGAATCAACAAGCAGCACCTGAATCTGGGTGTAATACGAAAGCTGCTTTTTTTAAAAAATAAAAGCACATTCCACATAGCAGGTAAGCAAACTGTGACAAAAGTAGGTGAGTTGATGGCGAGTTGATAGAGGCAAACAGTCCAGGTTTTATTTTCAAGAGCAGCAAGTGAACTGTAAATATTTTAATGTTAGTTTGCCCGTATGTGATCTGAGATCATGACAAAGTGAGAGGAAATTTCCCAACAATTAATGTGTCAGAAACGTTAAAATATGAAACCAGCTGCAATCCACCACATAGATCACTCTTGTAATATGTGTTATGGGTCCATTTCTCCTGGAATAGTTTAAACTGAAGCAGTTTCTCTGTTTTGGAGATTTTTGTAGTTAATTTTAATTTTAGCTATTGTTTGGAAAAAGATGGGCTGTCTGTGTAGATATGAAGTATAGTTTTTTTTCCATAAAACAGAAGTTTATTTTGTATTAAAAATACCACTGTACTTGTTTTACACCATTTGTATACATGTGGTGATATTAATGCTGAACTGTAAAATTCAGGAATTAAAATGTGACCCTGTAATTCCATAATGATTGCTTTTGTTTGGTTTGTTGTACATGGTAAGTTAACTCAGAACTTTAAATGTGGCCATTTGAGAATATTTTTTAAGATTAGTTATCCATGCAGTTTTCAGAGTAACTCCATACCACTAGATGAAATCCCAAAGGGAACGTGTGAGTTCTTACCGACACGTAAGCTAGACACAAGGATTCTGATGGATGACAGTTCCTGTGCGTGGACCTGGGGACAATGGTGTTTGCCCTTTGCGGGCTCCAGGCAGCCAAGGACGGGACTCCTGATTTCTCACCTGTGCGATGAAACACCCTCTCAGCTCTGAACACGGAGGATCCGAGGAGTTGTTTGCTGGTAAAGCACAGCTGCAGCGCCATCGCCGTGTGCTTGCCCTCCTGCTGACCATCATCTGGGTTTCTTCCTGATGAGTCCTTTTTCTCCGTCGGTAACAATGATTAACTTCCTCCAGCGCTATACGTGCTACTCGAGCAGCAGAGTTACGCAGTATGTGCCTTTACTAACCTGAGGCTGAGAAAATGCATCGCCTGGTCTGTGGACCTGAGTTGTCCTGATTCTCTTTAACAGCTACCCAAAACAAGTTCTCTGAGGGTCTCTGACTGAAGCGTGTTAGTCTTTACTCTGTTCCCCACCACCCCAGCTCTTCCCTGAAGTACTGTCAGGAGCTTTAAAAAATACATTCAGACCAACATGAGGGTTTTTTTACAGCAAAAACAAGAATGTAATGAATTTTTATAGTTACTAGAAAAAGACTGTGTAAAGTGGCATTAGATGTCCCATTTAAAAAAAAAAAAAATCCCTGTAGAAGGTGACACACAGCATTCTTTTTAACTGGCTTTTGTCTGGGGCTGTCACCCCGTTTCCCAGTCTTACCTGGTGGGTTCCGCCTGTTCCCATGTCTGGGGTCCTTCCACTACCACTCTTTTTGGAAAAGAAAAGAACATCTGCCAACATGTATCAGTTATAAATGCTATTTTAATAAAAAGTTACATGAAACTGGACTTGGTTGGGTTGTTTCTTTTAATGTGAGTTACTGTTGCAGGCAGCTGTGTAATGAGGCTGCGCAGAGGACAGCCTCTCTGCCCTGCCTCCTTTAAGTCTGTCAGAGCCAAACCGGTAAACAAGATTTTAAAGGCTGCTACTTTGAAACTGAATTGCTGGTGACATCCCTAGCTTTTACTTTTTAACTAAAGCAATTGTTTTTACTTAAAGTTGGACATAAGATCAAAATTGGACCTAAGGACTGGGAAACTGCCACAAAAGTATGTAAAGCAATGTAATCCAGAATTAGCATGTAAATGTCTCCGCTCTGAGCTGCATTACCTTTCTGAAAAATAAGATGGTCATAGTTGCACTTCCTTGTGAAATTAGACTTTATTATATTGCACAGCTGAAAAATAGTAATTTGTTTATAATATTCTAATAAAAGGAACAAAGTTCTATAATTTTAGAAATAAAGTTAAAATTTCTAAGTGTTCAGAACTATTCACATAGGAATTATTTTGACAGATCGCAATACCTGCTTTTGTTCTACATAGTATCAAGTGGCTGAGGCCAGTACTTTAGAAAATCTGTACGCTGCAGGGATGTTAAATGGCTTCACTGTTGAGCATTCTGGAAAATAGGTGTTCTTAGTGTATTTCGGTGTAATTTTAAATATTTATATATGAGTACCAAGTTGCCTCTCTGAAAGGTCTATAAAACTAAGTATCATGTTGGAAAACAAATCCATTCAATTATTATATAAATAATTTATTCTAAAAACATACTTATGTTTTGGGGTTGTGCAATGAGCTTCTTAATTACCGCTTATTAATAACTTCTTCTTTTAGTTTTTCTGCAAGCATTTTCCTCTTCTGTAGTAGTCTTTGCTTCTCTTCTGACATTTCCTAAAAACAGAATGAAAAAACACTGCAAGAAACTGCGTGGCTTTCCTGGTAGGTACCCTGACTGCTAACAGAACACGTGAGCCATATCAGCTAGCTCACATCGTTTCTCTGATGTTTGCAAGTAACATCACTTGCAAACCTGCGGCTGCAGCAACAGTCCTTCAAACTCACTTGCTCTCCAGAATGACTGTAAAGAAAAAAATTATTTGATGTGGATAACTGGCTTTTTACAGCAATTTGCCTTTTTTCCACTGCACTGTACCAACCTTCTTGAGAGGACTATCCTCAAATTCAACTGGTGCTGCTTAGTTGCTCTGGAAGTTCCCCAATCAACAGTATTTTAGGCATGTTCTGAGCATAGTAAAATGCTCAGCAACTCTGAAAAATACCTGGGGCAACAGAAGATCTCTGCTCTTAAAAATCACTGCTCTTCTTTACAGAGCACCTATTTTAATTTTTTTTTTTTTTGAACGTAACTGTTACCACATTGTTTTGTGGGGGTTTTACAGTCTTACACTAGTTTTCTTATTTGTGTTTAGTGTTTTCAAGCACTTCTTTTCATATAAATGTAGATCAGACCTATTTGTGGCAAATGAATTAAGTCAGATTAACAAAAAAGAATTGGGCTTTTTTTTTTTTTTTTCTGATAAGCTCTACCAAAATAGAGGTCTTTTATCCTGTCATAGGATTCTAGTTTGTTTTTTTTTTTTATGGCTGGGCTTTTCCCTATAGGGGAAGAGAAACTACTACTTTTTTTCCCCAACTAGGTTTTCTATCATCCCCATAGTGGATTCTGGTGATTTTAGCACTTGCTTTAAGTCAGGGAACATACCAGTTAATTTACTACATAACTTCACACACATCTCTGAACAGAGAACACCTTTGGGTAAAAAAAGACATTGAAGAACGGGTTCACTGCCAGTTGTACCTCTTCCAACAGTGCACCATTCTCATTGTGTCCTGTGCCTCCAACCCTCCCCCAGACTTGTTTTTTTCTGTTGGAGGCAACTGGGTAGACAGCAGCATCCACCCTTCAGAGTGCCTTGTCTTGCTAACCTGTATCCTCATCGTGTCGCTTCTATTCCAGCAGCGGATAGATAGAAGTTAAGGATTACATCATTTGAAATAGGCACAAAACTCTCAAAAGAGGTCAAAAGAACAGAGCAGATTTGTTACCTCTGTAAAATAAGACTTTGCAAAAGAAAAATGTTTTTCCCACTTCAGATGGACCAAAAAAAAAAAATCCTAGGGATTTAAGGCAGCCCAAATAGTAGGTCACAGATTAGGAGAAAGCCAGTATTTTAGCCATGCATAAACTTAAATTAATCATGCAGATTTGATGATACTGCAGCAAAATAATGCCAACTTAACCACTAAAACTTCTAGCCTATGGGCGTCTGCAAAAACAGTAACTTGAAAATACTTCCTACTTCCACCACTTTTTTTTTTTTATCGTGCTACAATATTAATCAACAACATTTACATCTTCACTGAAGTAATCTGTGCTTTTTATAAAGTGGTCAGGATGATTAAAATGTTTGAATCCTTCACCTCTTTAGGAGGTGATTCCTCTTCTTTCTGCTCAGTGTTTGTTGGTAACAGAATGTTATTTCTTGACTCCTTCTTTGTAGCCATCAGCATATCTCGTTTTTTCTTTAGGTAGTCCTCTCGTTGCTTCAGCTGCTGTTCTTCAAGTTCTGACAAATTCTGGAATATTTTTGTTAGAATACA